CTTTGTAACTGAATGAATATATATCTTTTGTATTCTGATAAACCTCTCGATAAGATCTGTTAGGTTTATATGCATATTCTATGTATTAATAAATGTATCCTCGTGTATTAGTACCTTTGTGTGTGCGCGTTGTTTAAGTTATGTCGCATGGTTGGATTCTAAAGCCATCAAAAGAATCAACTTTGTAATTTACTGCTACAATTAATAACCATCTCAGTAAATGCCCAAACCCTACAGAACTGGTGCCTTCAGAGAGCCACTATGATTACATATTTGGCGTCCCTGAGCCGGTTTTCTTACACAGGAAACTAGGGACAGGACAGAGTAGGAGCGACAGAGGTGACAGAGGTGAACCCCTCAAATCCCAGAACAAAGTAACGGTGTTCAAACCTCTCTGGGTTGTCAGGAAGCTGCTCTCTCTCAGCTCTGCTTCTCACACTGGTTAGATCCTCAGACAGTGACAGGTTGGGTTCTGCTGTGTTAGGATCCTGTCATGAACCGCAATCCTATGAGCACCTCTCACCGCCAACACCCACGTACTAATTAATCAATTATTATTCCTCACGCTTTTCCCTATTTATACCCTCTCACTTCACTCAGTCCCCACTCACTATTAAGAAAAACCTTTGGCTTTCTTTTGTGTGCGTTTAATACTCTCGACCTGATTTCTGGCTACCCGACCTTGTTTTTCCTCCGGCTTCGACTTCGTCTCGTCTCTTGACTCTTGTGATACCTGACCTACTTCGACTATGACTTTTGACTTTTGCCCTTGGGATTTGGACACCAGAGACTAGCTGCCTACAGACTCAGCGCCCCATAGGGTCCAACCAGGTACTCTTAACGTCAACCCTGACAGGTCCACAGTAAGAAAGGCTGATAAGAAAAATTACAGCAAATGCTGACCTTTGGAAAGATGTATTTTTTTGATAAATTATTATTTTGATTACATAACAGTACAATTAATTTCTTAAATTAAAGGAATACAATCACAGAGATGTATCAAATTGACTTTTAAAATTTGACCCAATAAAAGTTACCAATGGCTATGACAAATAATAATATCAGTAAAACTTCACCGTAAAAATAATTATCAGTTACTGTAAACGTTCTAAAATTAGAATATGGTTTTGAAATTAAAGCAAATGTATTCTCTATAAAAATTTGAAAATTCACACACCATTGGCAATATAAATATAAGTTAAATATTTCCAAATAAAAAATAGTAGGTTCATATAATTAATATTAATTAAGGTTGAACACTCTGTTAGTGTCAGAATGAGGACAACAGTTAAGAGTCAGGACACTATAGACACACTGTCAGGACAGAATCACCAGGACAAACTGGCCATATAGTGACACCTGTAGAGCAAATTGGAGGAGATAATTCACTCCAGGGCTCTTACACATCCAGAGGCACTGTAGGAGCAGAATATTAACAATGGTATCTTAACCAAAGTCCATTGTGGTTTTCCGTCACTAAGTTCTGCTTCTGTTCCCCTTTAATTCAGTTGATAAAGTAATTTCTGACTTCTCTTCCCAGTCTTACATGCAAAAATCATTTTGATGTTTAATAGCATGAATAAAAAGATTCAGTATATCCTGTATTTAAATGAAAAAAGCATTAATTTTGAAAAATGAGGAGTCCTGCCAACAAATAGTCAAAGGGTATTAAAACATACAGGGCAGACGTCTCCTGGGTTTAAACTGAGGGAAGAAGAATGAAGTCTGCAGTCAATGCACTAGAAGCCTAATATGTAGAATATTGATCAGCATAAAATGATTAAGAAAAATAAAGTGCTAGTGATGTGGGCATTGATGGGGCTCCATTGAAGACTGCTGGGGAGATGTCAGCAGGACAGGGGCTTAGGAACACAGTCCAGTTCTCTCCATCTTCTTAAGAAGAGCTAACATCTGGAACTACAGTATGTAAAACATACTCAACCTACACAATCCGGTATTTTTTTTTGTCTTAGTAAAAATCTTGATTCACATGTTTCCTGACATTTACACAAATTTTGTAGAAAAGCACTAACAGTTCTAATTACAATCACAGCCACACAGTGAAAGTGAAAGACCCATCCAGAAACATTCTTCATAACCAGCTCTGCCTCGTTCAACACACTGTGTTATGATCCACTCTTACAGACACCTTCACTGGGCAGATACGCAGAAGATGAGACTCGCCTGGCCAAAATACTGGAAACACTCTCTCAGTAAATGTGTCTTTAAAAGTGTAGATGTGAGTCCCAGCGTTGGGATCAGAGAATGACACTTCCCCTCTGTCATAGTCCAGCTGCACTCTGATCCTCTGGGGTTTCCTCTTCAATTTGAGTTGTGTCCGTGGTGAGGTCAGAGCTCTATAAACACCATTGCCCACCCGTAGAGCCCACACTCCGCTTTCTGGGCTCAGAGAGACTAATTCTTTACTGTTGGTGGATTGTTTGGCCACACCAAATCCCCAAAAACTTCTGTTTTCCACCTCCACATTCCAAGAGTGTCTACCTGAGGTGAATCCCTCAGATCCCAGAACACCGTGCAAGGAATGAAACCTCTCTGGGTTGTTAGGAAGCTCCTGTTTCTCAGGTCTGTATCGCACACAGGTCAGGTCTTCAGACAGTGACAGATGAGGTTCTGCTGTGTTGGGGTCCAGAGTCACATGTGCTGATATGAAAAGAACAAAATAGAAATCAGCACTTACTGTACCTGTCCAAATGTATATTTTTCTAAATAAAAATTTTAATTAAAAATCATTACACTTCTGTTAAATTTATGTAACTGAAGTAATACAAGGGTCATAGAAATATACTGTATAAAACTGACATTTTTAAAAACTGTTTATGACAGAAATGGCTATAAAAACAATTAACATAATTAAGGACAGTTACACATTTTATATGGAGCAGTAAAAATGATTTTAAAAAGATTTACAGTGAAGTAAGCTTACAAAAAGTAAGCTGAGGGGTTTTGATTCAGATATGAAAATCAGACACCGTTGTTGAGATCAAAATTAGTCTTTTTTTATAATGTTAAAAAATAGTAGGATGCTGAAATAAATGAAAAAAATAGGCTAGATTTTTTTAAATGCTCTTGAGCACATTCTTGTCAGTAACAGCATAAGAACAGAAGCTAAAGTGTCAGGACAAACTGGCCATGTAGTGACTCCTGGAGGAGATCAGTCACTTCACACCAGGGCTCTTACACAGACAGCCACACTCTCACTGCTTTTATCTGATTGACTCCATAATTCTCAATATTCCTCCTGCACTGTGAAAACCTGTAAATCCCTCCCCCTTGTGATCTCTGCCCCCCAGTACTCACTGTACTGAACAATCCCCAGCATCTTCTCCCAGACTCTGTACTTCAGAGAGCCCAGGTGCTTGGCAACATCTATCAGTGCTCCTGAAATGAGCTCTGGATCCTGCAGTGTGCGCTCGGTTCTGCAATAGTTTTTAGGAGTCAGTGCTGCTGTGGGTTTAGATTCAGTACAATAGAAAACAGGAAGACAGAGCGGAGTTCACATACCTGCTCTTTGTGTCCTTGTAGTTCTGAAAAACAACATCAGGATATTTATTCATTTTTGATTAACTACAAAGAACACTTTATTAAACTTTGACCATGGTTAAAACATGAAAACCAAATATTACAACATCCGAATAATGGCACAATATTGTTACAGATATATACCCAAGCAGCTGGTGGAATTATAGGCACCAACTGTAAGTTCTTTTTTCTCTAGTACAGCTTTCCCAGAAGCATATGTCAACCAGAAAAACCCCAGTGTCCTTTATGACACTTACACAGGCTAACAAGAGATATGCCTTCTAAACTAGACAGAACACAACCTACAGTTAAGGCTCTCTCTTTATACAGTAAATCAGGATAGTACAAAAAGTAATGGGAAACCTTTCTTTCTATTCTAAAAATACATCCACAACCAGGAGATGTCGGGTTTAACCTACAGTAGGGATTATCTGTACAAGAGTTTCCTAAAAAACAAAAGAATGGCAAGCTCTTCCTGACAAAAAATGTTGACACAAGCCAGGTGTTTGACTATAGTCCCTAGCATCTTGAGACACCGCAATAACCACGTCTAATTATCATAATAAAACAAATTAAAACATAAATAACATAATAATATAATAAAACACCCCAATATTGTAAATACACTGTATACTGATACAATTCCTTGTTTAATATTTTAAATGATGAGACACTGCTTTTCACTAAGCAGCTGGTTTTGCTGCACAAGATCAATGGGAGTCCATGGTCTCCCTGTGTGAAAGTGAGGTCATTCTGAGGCTTAGAATTTCTACCAAACTGAACTCAGTCCTCTCAATGAGAGGTTTCATCACTTACAGTAAATAAAACCATACAAAAACTGAAAAATAGAAAAGAACCTGCTGTACCAACTCTTTGGGCAGATATAAGAGGAAGTATCAAGAGAGTGGACAGAAGTTTCTTTAGGAAAACTCCACAAAAAAGACTGTAACAATTACAGGGGTATCATGCTTTTATCTGTGACAGGGAAAGTCATAATTAGGATCATCCTAGAAAGGCTGTCAATAGATCGGGATAAGGAATTGAGAGACCAGCAAACAGGACTCAGACAGGACAGATCATGCTTTTGACCACATTGCTACACTGCTTGTCATTGTTGAACAGACCATAGAGAGAAATATATCCTCACATTTGTATATTTCCTGAAAGCCTTTGATCACCTTGATGAAAAGAACCTATAGAAACTCATGGCATAATATGGAATTTTGAAAAAGTTCATAATCATTGTTTAAAAGGTCCACCTACAGTCATCCTGCAGAGTTCACAATGGACACCACAGACAGCTTTACAGTGCCCAACAGTCCCTGTTACTCTTTATCTTGTGACCTAGACCATTCATTACTGTCAGTCTGCATTCAGAAGACTGTTATCACAGTGATCTATACCTGCAGAAATGAAATGTCTTCAGCTCCCATCTCTTGTTCTACAACTCTGACTGTGTCTGAAAGGGATGATATCTCTCTTGTAAGACTCTCAATCTTCTGCTCCATCATCTGTCTCTTCTCTTCCTCTTCCTCCCTCAGTGCAGCTATCCTGGCTGCCTCTTCATCTTGTAGAAACTGGTGAAGTTTCTCAAACTCCTCCTTTATCTGTCTCTCTGTCTGTAGGGCCTGTTTCTGGAATGGAAAATGCAATGGAAAAACATCTGAGACATATAAAATACATTATATTTTTTTAAAATAACTCAAACAGCTCGTGAATGTAATTTTTTGTGACTATATCCAATATGCTATGAGGAATCTTCACCTTATAGTTGTGTTTAACAATCTCTACTGTAACTTTCTGTAAAATAATACATACAATATCTGGTAATTTAACCTTGGCTAAGGAGGCAACTTCCTCCTTTATGTGACCATCTTCCTGTTGAGTCTGTGTCTAGAATGGAAAAGGTATAATACTCAGTAATAAAGCTGTATTATACAGTCATGATGAAGTTTCTTCACTCTTCAGAAATGCTGTATTAATTTGTATTTATCCTACTTGCCGTGTAGTCTTGACATGTATCGTCACTTTTCCTTTAACACATTAATAAAACCAGTGACAAAAAATCCCACACTAAATCCAAAATAACTCAAAGAACTCCTTTTGAGTTCAGTTTCTTGGGAATATCTTTAACAGTCAAGCTATGAAGAATATTCACTTCATTGTTTTATTAACCTCTTCTGTGATTTCATTTTCTAATTTCTAACATCTTCTTCCAAATCAAAGTCGTGGGGGAGCTGGAGTCGATTCCAGTAAGGGGAGCAAGGCAGGCCACCAGTCCATAGCAGGATACAAACATACACTCACATAAGGGAAGGGCTAATTCTCTCAGAAGCCAATTAACCTATTGGACTGTGGAGGAAACCCACGAGAGCATGGGGAAAACGTACAAAGTCCATGCACCCCAAATCAGGAATTGAACTCAGAAACCCAGCACAGCAAGGCTTAATGTTAACCACTCTGCCACCCAAAAAACAGCTTACTGTATAACAATTACAGTTATATATTAAAAATTACACCTTAATATATAATGTTAAATAGTATGTCTTTAAAAAACACAAATAACACTAAACTAGCAATTTAACCTGGGTTAGTAACAATGTATTTTAGATATTTTAAATTCGTAATAAATATAAATTGCTTTATTTTTAAACCAGTAAACGTACCTTAATGTGTACTACAGTTTGGTCATATGTGTGTTTAACTTGATTAAAGGAATCCAGCTTCTTCTGCAGGGACTGCAGTGCAGCCTTAAGCCCCTCCTGGAATGAGATGACAGAGCTCACACTTTGCTCCAGGAATGACTGACAGCAGCTCCAAATAGAAAATTCCAGATAATAATGCACACACGGTTCACATTTTCCTGGAGAAAGACACTGAGACTGTGTTCACATATAACTGCAAGGATTGGATCTTTTCATTGATTTAAACTAGTTTTCACATTTTTTATTTAATACAATGTAAAATGATTGATATGATTTAATTAATTGCATTTAAATACAATTAAATAATTGTTATGTTCATCATCATTATATTTTAGGAATAAACAGTGACTTCAAATTAGCTGTTTGTGTTCCTGTTGATCACAGAGTGTCCCCTAAACAGCAGGACCTAACACCTCTGGAATTAAGCACTCTGAACAGAACACTCCAGCTCTCTGTGTCTTTTCCCTTTTCAGTACTGGTCACTACAAAACAATCAAGTTGCTGAATACTGTTCTTTATAATATATTTATAATAATTCCAACATGATAGGAAAAATTGTAAAACATGCAAATGCAAAAGTACAGTATTCCTAAAACAATACATTTTAAGTTGAGGTATTATATACCTTTAATAATACAGTACCTGCAATTTAATTTAGATACCAGTACCAAAATTCATCATAAAAATCATAGTTTTGTGACATAGGTCTTATTTTTCCCATTGTGAAGATGGACAGTGTTTTTGCAATGTTGATATTGAAGACAAGACGCACAGTAAAAGTCAGTATTTAAAATATAACAATATATATTTTCACGTCAGTGAAAAAGCAAGGAACAAAAAGTTATTTTTCTAATCACCCTCTTTAAGATTTAAATTCCCTTTTAACAAAAGTTATAAAGTTTGCTAAATACACTGACAATAACCTGGTTTTCAATATTAAAGTTTGTAATTAAATTATTTCCAAACCTTATACTTCTGAGATGTCTTCTGTACTGGGCGAAATTTGTGGTTTTCATGTTTTTTTAAAGTTACACAATCAACACAGACAGGCTCTTCATCATTCAAACAGAAGAGCTTGAGTTTCTCCCTGTGTAGACTGCAGAGCACTTCAGACCCCACTGGAGGTCTCTGACTCCTCTCATCTAAGAACCTCACACACAGATTCTTTAGAGCCAGGTTGTTCGGAGGGTTTTCTCTTGAAGATCTTCTCCTGCAGGTTGGACATTCCTGAGATCCTTTCTGCTCCCAGTACTGCTGCAGACAGGCTTTACAGAAGCTGTGGCTACATGTCAAGACAACAGGATCTGTGAAGATTTCACAACACACAGGACAGGAGAGCTCCTCTTCCAGGACTAAAGATCTTGCTGCCATTTGTTCACAAAGTTACAGCCCGTCTTGTTTTCAGAAATTATTTCTGATCACAGCTTGAAATGTTCTTTCACTTTCACCTAATGCTTTTAATACCGCTGGTGAAATCACCTTCTTGTGAAAGTAAAGCTGTCATTGCTTTTCTCTAGTAATTGCATGTGTACATTGTTGTTATTGTATTTTTTTATTTTAAAGGTTAGCATGTTTCAGTACTTTCACATCATGACACATGTGTTCTTAATAAATATAAGGAAGTAAATACTATCAGTTCACCCCTCCTGTTCATACTGGAATGTCAGGTCTTCCCAGTTCTTCCCAGTTATCTGTGTTCACAGTTACATGTTCCTTTAGGGGGCAGCATCTTTACAACACAATGTAATTCAAAAGCTCTTTATTTAAAAATATATATTTTGAACCTCAAAACGTCCTTATTTTGATGGTCCTGCTAAATGGAACAAATTTACAACTTTTTCTGCATTTATGATAAAAGATGTTTTATGTGGGAAACTGACAAAATAATTTTAAATGACTAAGGAAATGTTAATATCACTGAAAAAAAATGAACTGGAGGAACATAATATTTTAGCTATTGAGCTTTTATTCAATTGTTGCTCTATGAAGGCCAAAATGTTATGCTCTTTTGCTTTACTTTTCAGTGTGGAATTAATTTCTATTTAATCCTTTAGATCCAACACATACTGATGTAGCTTGAACATCAAAATATATTTAACGTACACATTCTTATTAACTTGTTTTAAACCAAACCATAGGCAAGTAATACCAAGAAAACACAATGTTTTGGTTGTGGAGCCTTTTTCGGATATGTTAATTCGGCGTTTCCTTTCTTCTCTTTTCAGCATGGAATAAACCTTTACTTGTTCCTTTGCTGCCTAAAAGAGTTTTATATTCTTCTGCAGGAGCTTCAGTGCAGCCTTGAGCTTCTCCTAGAATAATATGATATGGTTTACATGCTTGAACTACTGAGAGGAGATCTCACTGCCCACACAGATAATACAAGTGAGCACCTGAACAGGTAGACAGGAACCAGAGATCACACTTTACTGGATAAATACACTGCATCTCTGTTTACTTATCACTGCAGGGATTAGATTTTTTGATTGGTTTAAAACTATTTTTTGAAAAAATTTCACATAAAGAAAAAATAATTTAAGAATGATAAATATAGAAAAAACACTACTATATTATACTGTTATAAACTGTCATTACATTATCAAACAGTCAACATTATTTTTAAACATTTTTTTTTTTAAAATAAAGGTAGGATCCTGTGGAATAAATTGTATCAATCAAATCTGGTAAATTTCCTTAAATACGACAGGAGAAGCCATTAACTTACGAGTTTCTCCTTAACTGCAGAACCTGACAAATTTGGAAATAAATACTCAAGCACAATGCTGCAAATGTCTGTGTCCCCTCCCTGTCAGAACCCTCTGAGAAACATTTTTGAGAAATAACATTATTACTGTACTTGGCTACAAGATAATTCCTGCAAGATAGAAAAAAAACATGAAAGTGCAAAATTATTGCCAATTACAGTTTTGTTTTGAGGTATTATACATATTAATGCCAAATTATAGAAAATGAATAATACCAGCATCTTAATTTTGATACCAGTACAAAAATGATGATTTTATCATCGTTATGTGTTTTGAGGTCTTGTCTTACCCCTTAAGGAAGGTGTATAGTGTCTTATTGTACATGTTAATATTACAAGCATGACACTTACATAAAATAAATCTATTATTGCCTATTAGTAAAATAATATATTAGTGTCAGAGAGGAAGCAAGGAACACAATGTGTCCTTTCACAATGTGTGAAAATTGTTTTTAAACCGTATGCTTCTCTGCTGCCTACAGAAAACATTTATGGTTTTCTGAAGTTACACAATCAACACAGAAAGGTTTTTTCAACATCCAAAAAGAAGAGCTTGTCCCTCTGCAGACCGCAGATTTCTTTAGACCGTGCTAAAGGTCTCTGACTCCTCTCCTGTAAGAAAGTTTCAGATTCTTTAGAGATAGATTAATGGGAGGCTGACCCTTAGACATCCCCCTGCCAACTGAACATTCTCAAGAGCACTTCTATTTCCAGTACTACTATGTACAGTTTTACAGAGGTTTTGGCTACATATCAGGACACAGGATCCTTGAAGATCTCACAGCACAACGACATAAGATCTTACAGTCATTTCTTCACAGTTCCAGCCTTACTTATCTTTCAATCTGCCTTTTTTAGCATTATCAGCTTGTCACAGCTTCACAAATACTTTTAGATTGGTTTTATGTGCTCTGGTTATAAGACTTAGAAATATTTTTTACACAAAAGAGATGAATTTTATCCACAAAAAAATCAATAAAACCTTAAACTGACTCCAATGGTCACATTGTCTGTCTCTCAATTTCTCTCATTAACAAATGATTCAGTCGGACAACATTTCTGACAACATTTGGGTTTTTTCTAAACAAAGAAAACTGTTACTGGAAATGAATCACAATGTTGTCAAACCTGCTGCTCCTCTGCAATGATTGGATGAGTGAAAAAGTGTAAATGAACTAGAAGGTTCACATTTCTGATCGCTCATTTAGTTTTCTCACAATCTTGCAATTCTGCACCCATTAAGATATTTTTTAATACAATAACCTTCATTTTAATTAACTTCGGGCTTCATAGATAAGAATAAATAAGAATTTTGTCTGTAAAGAACTGCACTTTGCTTGCAGTAATGATAAAATGCAGAAATAAGAAAAGGAAGTAAAAAATACTACATACAGTAGTTTAAAATTCAGGAATATCGATGGTGCCCTTCAGGGGTACAGTAGGTCAATTACCTACAGTACTTTTGGTGTAGTTTGTGTTTTGTGGATTTAGTGGATTATATACAATATACTGTATTTGCAACACGAAATAAAGAGCTTTTATATTTTTGATAAAAGGCACAAGAAAAAAAATGTCATTGACTGTGTTCATCCTAATTGATAAAAAAGTCAAAAGATCCAAAAAGCACACATATACAGTATATATAGCATATATATTTTTCTCATTTAAGTGTGTTTTTAGGCAGAAAACAAAGTGTCATTTGTGACTTAATGGACATTCAATAATGGCCAATAATGGATACCCCTTCCACCCTTTAGTCCATTAAACTGAGTGTTTACTGTATTATACTTTTGCTAATTAAAATAACTTGCTATTACACTAACCTAACTTTTAGGAAGATGGAACAATGTAGCGCCATATTTATATTTGTTGTAGTAGATGGTACAGTTAATTTGAACAAGTGTGAGACCCACTACATGTAACAATTCAGTGATGAGCCCGATGATAGTGGTGTCATCTGTGTATCTGAGGACTTTGACAATACTGTGCTGTGATGTGAAGCTGTTTATGAACAAGGAGAAAAGAAGTGGGGAGAGTGGGGTCCAACCGTGAGGAAGTGCAGGACTTAAGGTGGGCCAATGCACTCAAATGGCTTCATAACCATCTATGAGAGTTATGTGGACTTCCTTCTTTCGGGGGAAGAGACTGAGGAAGATAAATGGGATTAGCAGATGAAGCTCATGAGAAATCAGCTACAGCAGTGTTCAGCGTTTTGGACTACAGTAAGATTTTTACAGCGATGTAAGGTAGTATATCCAGGAACTGGAATACTGTTAGAAATGTGTCCCCTGACATGGAGTTACACTGAATATTCACTTTTATCTCACTTCAGAGGGTAGATAAAATACCAATTGAATTCTCACACTGAGCTGGTGGGTTACAGACACACTACACTCTTAGATCAGCTTTGAAAACACAGGAACACAGACACAATTCCTAATGTTTTATAGTCTCTTTCTTTTTAATAAATGACAATACCATTACACTCTCTATGCATTCTTTATCTCAGAAAGGATCAAATTCATCCAGTTCAGTTTATCACAGCATGTGATTAATCAAAATAATGGAGCAGTCTGAAAACTCTTTAATATTAAACTCTGATATGCAACACTGTTCACTCGGTGACTTATCACATCTCAGTGAAAATGACTAGGTATCCTTTGGTAATTAAGAAACAAGATCATACAATTAGGATGGCACAGTGGTACAGTGGTTAGTGTTAAGGATAATGAACTCAGAATGAATTCAGAATCATTTGAGCTTTTCTAGCTCATTACACCACCTAGCCATTTTAAGGATGCTCAGACCTTTTTTTCCCCAGCAACAGATTATTTTTATTTTCCATAACCACTGGTGCACCAACAATCTAGACATTATAATAGCGTCCCAATTATTTCATCACACAGCAACCATAACATAAACTAAAAAGGGACACAAACTCACAAACCATATGAAGAACCCCATTCACCCAGGTTACCAAGCAAAATGTCCCAAAAGAGCAGTCCAGCAGTGATGTTTAGAAAACTGCAGCTCTGATCAGTAACCTGACCTGACATTCCTCCTTCCACCACAGAGAAGACATTTACCGGTGCTCAGTCCTGGCCAGCCTGAACAATGTGGTCTGTCATGCTCTTCTCACTAAATTGATTTCTCTGAGTCCATGTCAGGTAGGGAGGAAAATGATCATGGAGCCTTCCTCAGCTGCTCACTGTAAAGTTCCTGGTGTCTGAGTCCTCTCCTGGGTCCACCTCTGCAATCTTTGTCCCCACTCAAATGCTCTGCTGAAACTTCTTTTCTGGAGCTTACAATAAGAAAACTCCAATTGTCAGGGATCAGGTCTCATTCTCTGAGGGGTAGAAGTGTCTCTGATGTCTTGGCTGTGGAAAGAGCTAAGTGCTTGGGACTTACGGAACTAGTGGCTATAAACAGATCACCAGGCATTAAGATGCATTGTGTATTCTTACCCTCTTCTAGAGCCCCATCTTAGTCTGAGGCACAGTTAGATGTATCTTGCAATCCCACATATCACCCAATATTAACCAGTGTCTATGCTAGGAGGGTCTATGATGGGAATGGGAAGACAAATGCAGCATTCTTACAAAGACTGTGGCCATTCTATGCAAACTTAAAGTCAACATACAGTAGTCCTTGACACCTGTTACCTCTACACACTGTGGTGCCTCTGGGGGAAAGTTTATGTAAATGAGAGAAGTACTTTCCTGAGTTTCGTGGCGTTTCTTCCTCCAATTATCTTCCAAATCCAGTCCGTAATCCGTTCCTATAATCCCGATCCGATCCGAGTTCCAAAAGTCTGTAATAAAG